GTTTATGAGAATTTTCTTATTTTCAAATTGTATTGTAACTTGCAGGGACTAAAATTGTTCTATGTATATAACGACGGATCCCTTGGTTTACGATTTTACGTTTCTGTAAAGTCTGGAAGAAGTAAAGGTCTAGTAAACAGAAATACCCCATTCTTTCAATTAATGAAAGTAAACTGTATTTCGCGTAGTTTAAGTGCAAACGGGTTAAACGCATTAATTATTGACCATAAATGAAATAATAGAATGAATTAGCTGACAGTCCAAAGTTGTCAAAGGAACACGTTCGTCATATCGCTAAAGCTGTGCTAAAAGCGGAAGCCGACCAAAATCAACAACGAAATAATAATTCTTAGCCGTGTTTAGAGCTATTTAATCGTAGTAAGCACGAGTTTCCACTGCGAAAGCGACAATGTATAAAACATGATAACCTTTTGAATCCGTAGTCTAATTACCAGAAATCCGAAACTATTAACTAGATACTGATACTCTAATTTCCACAGGAAAGCTATTATGTTTTTACTAGCGGTATTTCACTATTTTGTCATCAGCCCTTTAGAAAAGTATAATATTTGGGTGAATAGTTTTCTTCACATAGCGAACGGTCGACCGACTTTAGAAGCTTGACAAAATTAGCGGGCTCGAATCTGGGTCAATACAAGTAGCACAAGACAACTGATAGGTTAAGTAATATAATATAATACAACTAGGTTCAACAAACAGATTATGTAAAGAAAGGTGTGCGCCTCTTTAGAATCGTTTAATTTTCCGTTAACATACGTATTTAGAGTTTTTAACTACTTCTACCTATATACATGTATATATGTACATATATACGAGTAGGGTAGTGTGGCAAATAAAATGGTCGTATATGGCTCAGCACTCAAAATGGGGCATTATAAAATGGCAACGACGAGGCATTTAAGCTTTTACAGGAACAGGAAATTAGAAAACGTAACAACATGCAAACGCAACTAAGCAAGGAAGGCTTAAGTTCAGACAAACATAGGATACTTTAGTGATATGTTAGCAATAAAGGAGTGCGAAATATTATATTTCGCCGTTTCCTCACCATTTGGGTCTACGTAATAGAAATGTACCCGAATGTTAATCCTGTCAAAGACTGAGAAAAAAACATTTAGCTGTGTCTGTAACAAATGTTGCTAAGAAGTCAGAGTTTGTTTTAGACAATATTAGTTACCTTATGGTAATTTCTGGTATAAATTAGCTTACGCCTTAGCGGATAGGCCTTAAAAGATTTGACAAAAATATGCTGCTGAATGTCCAAAATATGTACGAAGGTAAAAACCCTAAAATAAATAAAACAAAATTTTTTTTTCGTGAAACCGTTTTTTTGGCTATTCAATGTAAAACCCATGTAATTACAGGGTTCTGTGATTTACCGGTATTCGATGTATATCACACCTGCCAAAGTCGAAGGTAGAGTCCACTGTTTCGACCGTGCTCTCCCACCTGTAAATGGTGCTTTGCTTAAACGAAATTGGAGAGAGTTATTCTTTAGGGGAAGGAGAAGAGTCATCGTAAACTCAATCTATGCTCTATTTGGATTTCAGTGCGTGGTTTATTTTCCAAAGATATGATTTGAATCATAGCATTTTTCATTTTTCTGAAATCATAAGACACTTTCGCTTCAATACTCGGTCAACACGAAACTAGTCCGATTCGGCTGAAAATTTGATAGTGGTCTTTAAAAATCAATTGAAGCGAAATAGTCGCTCCTACAAGTATATACGTCCGATATACATATGCTACAAGTCAACCCAATTGAAAGTCAACATCTTCAATACATCAATTATAACAGAGTTTCTCTGATATGAATACATATATGCACTGTTATAGCAATAACAGATCGCAGACTTTTTAGTTACTCCATCAACGGACCCTCCTCTGATTTTTACCACATTCTCATACATCCGACTTTAGTACCAAAACAGGAAACAAGCTCTCAACTATGTACAAGCGCACACACAAGACAGCTGCATTGGTGAGATGATTTAGCGTTTTCTGCTGCCCTTCGTCCGACTAATGTCTTGTTTTTATTGTATTGGTTCACAGCTGGACCCCGTTAATTAAAAGGTAATAGTTCTTATTAAAAGTATTTAAACACCTTCAGGTAATTTTAACACCGATATTTATTAGCGTTTCGTTTGTAAGCATCCTGACCCACAACTTGACAGCACAATCAATGCGAGACCGATACGAAGTGGCTGGCTAAGAACCTACCTACCTAGAAGAAGTTTTGCTCTTAGTTGCTGTTTTCACTACCTTAAATTAAATGACATATGACTTCTAAATGTCGTTTCGTCCATTTTAATATGTCACGATCTGAAATTTTTCATTGTATTCGGTAATGTTACAATTTTGTTTAAATGTTGTTATCAATGTTTAAATTTGATTACCAAAATAATCGTTTTCCAATTGCCTTTTGTGTGTTTTCGAGGCTCACTTTCATTTGAGTGGTGCAGTAAATAAAAAACTGTCGATTCTAGTGAGTGAAAATCTACAAATTGTTCATGAACAACGATTACATTCATCTAAATTGATAGTTTGGTGTGGTGGAATCATCGGTCCGTACTTCAATGGAGAGCAGTATACCGGTATGAAATGAGTTTTTGTGAAAATGATATACTAATTTTGAATGGGAAAGCAATAAAAATATTTTCAAAGTATTTACATTGCTTTTTATACATTTTGACCACCTTTCTGCCAATTTGTGGATACCATGTCAAAAACATGTTCGTCTTTTGAAGCAAACCAATCAGACACCCAATTTTCGACTTCTGCATAGAAATCGAACTGCTGCTCAGCCAAAGCGTGTCCGATCGATGAAAACAATTTGTAATCGGAAGGTGCCAAGTCTGGTGAATACGGCGGGTGGGGTAGCACCTCCCAGTCAAGTACTTTGATTGTATCCTGAAGCGATTTTGCTTTGTGTACAGGTGCATTGTCGTGTAACAAAATTACTTTGCCGTGTCAACTGGCCCACTTTTTCGTTTTCGATCAATGCATTGTGATTTAAATTGATCATTTGTTATCTGTGGCGATTAGTATTAATAGTTTTACCAGGTTTTAGAAATTCATGATATACCACACCCTACTGATCCCACCAAACACAGAGCATTGCCTCTTACCGAATCAAGAGTGTGATCACCGTAGAAACCAAAAATCACTATTAATTTCTTAGCCTTAGCCTTAAATTTTATTATTACGGAATTCAATGCAAGACGATGGATTAATCATCAATAGTAGTATTTCAAAGCTTAAGTACTTTGTAGACTAGATGATTATTATATAATGTTATATTATACTAGATTGACACATTATGAACATGTATAGGCAATAAAGAAGAAAATATTACTTTTCTAAGTATCCTTATCTTTTATTATTAAAAGAACGTGTTTATTATAGTATTATTTATGAGTAACGAAATAATTTATTTTATACAAAGTAAGCTTTTGTTTGGAACAAAATCTTATAGGAGGTGGTTCGCCTAGTAATTAGAAATGAAGGTCTTTACAATGTTGCTCCATTGTTGCTATGAAGAATTTGTGTATTGTCTGCTATCCAATCCATGAAATTCACTACACGCATGTAAAACCGTTAGTTTGGATATCACCACATTCACCGCCTGCACCGAATGAGACCAAGCCAATCAAATAATACGCTGTCCTGTTATGTGTGATTCCCTAAGCATGAGAGGTCCGCCTGAGTCGCCGTTACAGCTATCGGTACCCTTCCTCCTTTGGCGCATATTTGATTTTCTGCCTTCCTTTTTGTTTGCCACATTTTTGATATCTTGAACATTCAATATGCATACAATTTAATTTCACTATGCTCCCTCGTTTCTGTTTGCCCAACCAACGACCTCTACAGACTTATTTTCGTAATTAATTGTTTGTTGACCTGCCGGCGACAAGGGTAGACATATCGGGTTTATAAAGTCCGTGTAAGTTACACTCTCTTCCAGCTTCAATAGAGCTATATCGTAGTTAAGTCGGTTTTATTATACTTCGGATGAACTATATGTTCTAAAATGTCTATATCCAAGTGTCGAGGTGCACAAGTTGGGTACTCTTTGCTATAATATTCACAATCTTTTCCGTTGTGGTATTCCATTCGCCTAAACGAACTCCTTTGATATACCAATCTTTTTATCTTCAGACATAAACACAATGAGCTGCAGTCAGTACGTAATTTTGATTAATAAGAGAACCACCACAAAAAGTCCATGTTGTTGTCAGCTTTAAGGAAATAATGTTAAATTTTATTACTATTCTCATAAGAATCTTAGTATATATTACCGTCGATGTAAATTATCCTCGTACCCACGTGTACTCATCAATATAGCAGCACTGCCACCATAAATTCGGTTCTCTAAGAGTGTTTTGCCACATCCTGGTTCATTTGTCTGAAATTATTCAAATTCGTATCTGTTCATGCCTGTATAGTATAATCATTCGACCAGATCTCAAGTATATAAGACATATATACGAGAGTGCGATCGCGCCTAAAACGAAGCGCCATTGGCAGCCCTCTCCAGCACTAACAAGTGTTAACGTTTGCTCATTCTATCCATTTGATTCATAAAGATCAGAGAAGAAGAAATGGGTAAGCTGAGAAGTTTGGATCTAATAAAATCCATTTCAGAAAAATTTTTCTTAACAATATCTAAACTCGGTAATATTCTGAATAGAAAGTAGGTAAGGTGAGGACTCTTTAGCTTGTCCCACGTTAAATATAAGATGTTTCGACAATATACCGAAGTTTTTATATTAAGACGCGATAAAAGCAATATTCATTCATACACCAGTAAACTTATCGATTTAAAAGTTTTGAGAGCTTTACGATGAGCGGACAAACTTTCACTGTAACTCAATTTGCGAACTCTATGTAGCAGACCAATAATCGCCTAAATTAGGTTGACATTTTCGAGTTTTAAGTTCATTTAAGAATAATATGTATGTATGTCTGTATCTGTGTACTTACCCACTTATTGGAATCTCCTTTGGTGGTACTATGTTGGGACCTGTAAATAGATTTCACAATTATATTTACAATTATAGTATATATATACAAAATATTATTATAAATTAATATACGAGCTATTATTGCTGCTAAAGGTTGTTTGTAATACCTAAACCAAAGGAGATAGATGCAGGGTTATCCTATATGCGGAGGTTTGATATCTTATATAATATTTTTACCAAAATATACTTTGATTAGGAAAACTGGTTTCCTCGAACCAAGAGACATTGTACTAAAGGGTTCATCTAACTCTTTATAAACCTATAATATTGACTGATATATCCATTATAAAGTCAGACGGGGAATGTCGTATTAGTCGATGGAATTTATTTCACATAATGGTATGGTTATGATGAATAAGTCTATATAGATGCGACACTTTATGACATCGATGCCAACATATTTTACGAAAGGAAAGAAAATTAAAATCCATCAGCAATAAACATTTTGAGAGAGAGCGTCTAACGCATAACAAGATTGATCCAAATGTACAACGGGCCGAATATCTTGGTGGTTTTGAGATCATCATCATTTTACATGTTGTCAAAATTTTATATACAAGTATATATACATATAAATGTAAGTAGAGTGTGTGCGATCGTCTAAGGCGAACAGCTGATAATGAATTTTCTCAGCTCTACACGTTCTACCCTGGTATTAAACCTATCACACGGGTATACGTCTTACTTACCGGCTGTTGAGGTTGTCGGGCTCATCGTTATATGTGTTGGTGCTGTTGTTGTCGTTGTTTGTATTGCTTTTGTATCAGGTGCTGTTTGTGTCGTCGACTTAGTTTCAGGGCAACACACCTATGAAAAAAAAACTCATTAAGGCTCAATTATAAATAAATGGATTGCATGGTTCTCTAACGCGTGTAAGTTTATATAATATGTAGTTACCATGAACTTTCCATTATCATATCCACATTGACTATGCTGCAGGTACAACGTCTCTAAAGGTGTTCTGTCTTGCTTTGTAACAATTTCGAGCAAGGTACTGCAGCTTTTTATGGATATACATTTTCCAGGTTTGTTGGCCGCTGTGTGACAGGAAGTTTCCGGCATGGGTGGAGCTAAAATTTCAAAACTTAACTTAATGGCGACATATACAATATTTTAAATTAATTTTACTCATACTATATATACATATGTATACTTTCTTAAGGCTTATACAATTTAAGACAGTTTAATTATTGATGACAATGTTGACTTACAACATAGTCGCTCTCTGACCGAATATTTTGGTGGTTTTGAGATCATCATCATTTTACATGTTGCCAAAATTTGATATACATATACTTATGGATGTGCGTAGAGTGTGTGCTTCAAACCTATACCGATCGTCTATTTTCTCAGCTCTACACGTTCTATCCTGGCATTAAACCTATCACACGGGTATATATTTTACTTACCGGCTGTTGAGGTTGTCGGGCTCATCGTTATATGTGTTGGTGCTGTTGTTGTCGTTGTTTGTATTGCTTTTGTATCAGGTGCTGTTTGTGTCGTCGACTTAGTTTCAGGGCAACACACCTATGAAAAAAAAACTCATTAAGGCTCAATTATAAATAAATGGATTGCATGGTTCTCTAACACGTGTAAGTTTTTAGCGGCTTTGGCATTCTCTAAAAGCGGATCTTAGATTTTCTCAATCTATTCTAATTCTAATACTATTAATGTTAGGAATTTAAAAATGATATATAATAGTTACCATGAACTCTCCATTATCATATCCACATTGACTATGCTGCAGGTACAACGTCTCTAAAGGTGTTCTGTCTTGCTTTGTAACAATTTCGAGCAAGGTACTGCAGCTTTTTATGGATATATATTTTCCAGGTTTGTTGGCCGCTGTGTCACAGGAAGTTTCTGGCATGGGTGGAGCTAAAATTACATCAACTTAAGTAGATGTTGGTATATACTTCAAATCAATTTTAGTCATACTATATATGTATACTTTCATAAGAATAAAACGTTAAGCCATAATTACAAATTGAAATGAATTTTTTTTGTTTTATCATAATTAGTAAATATTATATAGCTCATGACAGTCTTCTATGGGAAGATATGTGCCCAGTGTTTGAAGCGGTGTGCGGCATGAAGTGGAAGCTCCTATATCTGTGTCGAATAATTAAAAATTAATAGTTTGAAACAGTTTGAAAAAGCAGGAATATCTGGCATAATTGGATGTCTAAATCAAATATTCGTTCATATACCAGCGGTTGGTATACATATATAAAATATATATAAATACTATATACATTCATATGTATACAAATTGCTTATACTGATGATTCTGCTGGTCAAACTTCACTATATATGGTATAAGGTCCACCGATTTTTACGTGTTATCGGGGGAATTTCTCAAAAAATTACAGATATTTTCGAGATAAAATCAGCCAAAGGCACGGATGTCCTCATATTCGATATCTTTTTTTATACTCAAAGAAAAGTTATGTTATGATCCAGGGATCGAACTTGGATTACTACACATACGCCGTCCTTTGTGAAGCTATAAAAATAGAACTCCTGTATCCGGTCTTATAAGTGGGCGAATCGCTTTGTGGTCAATACAAATTTGCTTAAGCGTTTAGTCTCTGTGGGATATCTAAAAGAATGAGCTTACAATTCATTCCTTACAATCAAGAAGGAAGTGCTGATATGTTTTCACCTCGTCCTCTATCATACAGCTTCAGCAGCTAGCATAAGGTAAGATTCTCAACCTTACAGCATGGTCGCCGATAGGTCAATGCCCTCTTAGAACCTCTACAACTCGGGAGAGGCTAACCCTATTCAGGGCAGAGAGTTACTTAACGGCAACTATTTGTTAAAAGTTGTATTCCGATATATTTATTGATGCTTGATTTCACTATTATACAGTTAAAGAATCTGAAGGTTACTACATCTACCGTTCTAATGAAAACTATAGATTCAGTTAATTTTTAGATTGTAACTAAAGAATATCAAGTGTCTAAAGCAAACCGACAACGAAGAATTTCAGACGTTATACACTGGCATTGAATCTATCGACCGGGTATTACTTACCGTTTCTCATTTTGCTCTTGACTGTGGGTGTTGTTGTTGTTGATGTTGTTGTATGGTGTACTGTCCACTTATTTTCAGGGCAACAGACCTATTGATATAAATTACTTAATTAAGCCTCAAATATATAAGATCGATGTATGGTTCTCTATCGCTTGAAAGTTTCCAACGATTTTGACATTCTCATTAAACGGATCGTGTTCTAGTTTACCCGTAACCTCATGCCACACTTTTGGGAACTTAAAAGTGATCTTTGATATTGGTAGTTACCATAATTTCTCCATTAGCGTTTCCACATTTACTCTTTCTCAGGTATGAAATCTCCCACCTTGTAAGGGTTGGTTTTCTAGCAAGCTCTAGTAAAATGCTGCAGCTCTTTAAAATAACACATTCTCCAGTTTCACCGTCCGGTGTCTGACAGAAACTGTCTATCATGTTTGCATAAAAGAAAAACTTAAGTTAATCTTGGTTTAGATTTATAAGTTGTCCTCTTAAATCAGAGACCATTCACATAAACATATGTTGATATATCAAAGATTTCATTTACCAATTTTTGGCAGCGCTTCAATTGCTTTTGATGGCGGTGGGTTCTTCACTGGACAACATACCTGTAGAGTTTTAAATGTCATTTAATTTCTTTACTTTAATTAAAATTATCTAAAATTTTGAAAAAAATACACGGTTATAATAAAATAACAACGACGTATTTAAATAAGAAAATTATGAAAAAAACAAGCTCAGGTATAACCGAACATTTCATACCTTCGCAATTTACTTAATATTAAAAAATGTTACATAAGAATTCAATATTCGTTACTTCATCACGAAGCGAATGAATCATTTGAAATTATAAATTTTGATACATGGAAAGTAGTCGTGGCTGTAGTTCTATTTCAGATCTTTCTATGCCATAGCATAAGAATGTCAGGATAATCTGATGCACCAAATTTGATTTTTGATGAGAATTGGTCGAGAAATTTCTGAATTTTTGGATTTAGCTTAACATCGATTCCTATGAAGTTCTTAAGTACCATCTTGGCTGGGAAGTTTAACGCTTCTGACATATTTTGTTAATGAATTTTCGTATTTTAAATACAACCGATATATACTGGTTGAGCGTTTTTATTATTTGATTGCATCCATTCTCACAATTTATGTGGCTTATAAGATATGTTCATTAAACTAATTAAAGGGCAGGGCCAAGCCTATTTTTAAATAGCTCTTAAACTAAATATAATGTTCCGCTTAACTGCATTTTTTTGGGCGTGGTAATATTACCATTCCGTCCGTCTGCAATACCAACCCTGTCAGGGGGCAAGGCACACGTGTATCAAGTTTCTTCAAGATATTTAAATTTTTACTCAAGTTATCGCTTACATGCACAGACGGATGGACAATCGGAAAGACAGTCACCCGGAATTCAATACGCCTAATCATTCTGTTTACTTATATAAAGTTACATCATGGTAAAACTCTCCAACCTCTAAAGTAATGAGAGCCAAAAAGTACTCTCTTTTTTCGTTCGCGACAATTCCAATAACATACATTTATAATGAAATTGAAATTTCCCAGTACACTGTAAGAATTTGTGTAGAACTGACCACCAAAGCAATCATTAAAAGAATTTCAAGATAAAAAGAAATGTAAAGATAAAAACACAAAATGTGTTGCCCAAGCATAATTAACTCGCTGTTCTTCCCATCTCCTCGTCGCTCCCTCTACCACAAACTAAGAGCTGGTGCAAGAAACTTTTGGACTTAGTGTTGATTGATAAGTCATAGAAAGTGGAGAGAAAAAGTCTAGATATATATGTGCATATATACCCACGTATATTTATTCATGCAAAAGTGTAATTAAAAGCGAATCGAAATCCGTATGTTCGTGTTCGGGCCATTGCAACCTCAAGTCAGACAAATCCAAGAGTTTTGATTCGCAACTTATCGGTGCGACTTGTAGTTAGTCATTACAACAGCAAGAGGGAGCAACTGCACACATAGCCAGACCGGTTATTGCGGAGCTCCAATAAAAATTTGAAAATAATCTAATATCAAGAAACTCCACTTCCCGCTGGTCCCCAAGGTCACCTGACCTGTCTGCACCAGACTTTTGTATGGCCTTTTTATATCAAATGAGAGGTGAAGAAAACAAAACACAGAAATTTGACTGAATTGAAGCAGTCCAATAAATCGGTAATTGAGGCAATCCCGACTTCAACCCTTTAGGCCGCAATGAATAATTTTCAAATTAGGTGTCGCATATGCGAGGCTAAACATGGAGGTCATTTATGGTCCATGATTTTTAAAAGTAATTAATTATATAAAATAACATAAAATTTGGTATAAAAAAAAAAAAAATATAAATACAATGCATTGAAACAACAAAAGTTATAACGGTTTGCTTTTGTAGCACGATTCGTGCGCCACCCTGCATTATACTTGAAAGATCAGTGTGTTGATATTATTCGGTTAACAGAAGTTCGCTCCAAAGAAGTGCAGGCCTGATGCTCTGTTGATGATTTTGCACACATTTAGGTTTTTAGTTATAATTTTTCATAATGTAAAAGCTCAAATCCAACCATTAAAAATTGTCTACCAATAAATAAAGTATTCGACTGTTAGTGTAAGAATATTTCAAATACATATATTCAAGTTTATTTTTTAATTACTACAAAATATTGAGACTGGCAACTCAGCAATGCAAGAGAGCAATCAGCTGACTCGTTTCTATGAGAATACTCTAATTTTCGAGGTCCATTGACATTGAATGTTCATTTGCATTATGCTCTTATAAGATAGGTCATATCAGCTGATTCGGTCTGCGGTTTTGTGTAGGTGACTGTTTCCAGCATAAGTGATCGTGTACGTATATACACGGATTGTCAGTAAACGCACAACTGAAGTGCGTAAAACGAGTACTTACGACAGGACAAAGCGAACGTGAAATCAGTCTGAGATCAATGATAACATGATGAGAGACTCTCTGATTTTCTCTAATTTTCTCTTATTTTCTTTCCCTGATTATGATGATTAGGGACTTTTGAACATCTGATACCGAAAAAGGTGGGACTCCAGAAGTAAAACCGCTAACAAACAACGGCAGTGAGAAACGAAATTTCAAGGAACGACTCAAATACTTTTGAATTTCGTGCAACTTAGGATTTTTTGCTAATTTAATTGAAAACGTTAATCATAACATCATGATATTTTAATATAACTTGTATTGTTTCTTTGTTATAGTTCATTTTATTTATATTACTTTATTATGTTATATGATTTTTAAAAATTATATAATATGAATACACGTATCTAGGGATGTATATGCGTGATATAGGCCTACTCAGGAACCGATCACCTAAAAAGTTATTTTTAAAATACTCAATCCATTTTCTTTCGACAGTGGCATGATTGACAAATGTTATAAAAAATGTCGGGTTTGACAGCTCTCTCTCGGACTAAAGAGTTTCGTATCATGTCATTCTTGTCAGGAGTTGACTGAATAGGTTAGTGCGGATGACGCTGCACATATATATTTATATATTAAATTTTACTAATTCTTACTTGATAATATTTATATTATATTGCCACCTAACCTGAAATAATATTTATAATAATTAGTTGGGATCGTGCCCATCCCTGATTATAACACTTATGTGTATGCGGCAGAAAACATGTTAGTGCAGGGTTGCCCCGTCTTTTCGAGCATTATGGAATGGTTTGTTGGATTCGTTTCTCTCCAATTCTTGATCTATATATAAATATACTGCCTGCAGCATTATTAAGTGTTTCTATGATGAGTTCAAGCAAGAAGACCGATCTGTTGTAGAAGAAACCAAGGAAGATCTTTATAGAGCAGTGAAAGATCTAAAAAAAATAACCTTGCTCAATAACACTAGAAAGTGCATTTGTACGTGCTTGAATACTATAGGGAATACACTGTACAAATATGAGTATCATGGTAGAGTATACAGAAATAAACCATTTATTATATGTTTTTTGTTGAAACCCAGTTAAATAAAACATTAAGTCTATATTTGAATAAATCCGAAAAACGGGGAAGGTCATATCTGCTAAAATTTGTAACACATTCACTTAAAATAAAATCTTGGTCGATTATGCGATGGAGCCACGGTATGTGAAATTTCACTTTATATAAATACATACATATATATCTTAATTATCAATAGACTTACAAAGAGATTGTAGCTTAATGGTCCGCATAGACTGTTCTGTAGATAATTACTTTGTTCCTTTGTTCGACGCGTGTTCGCGGCCAATCCGCTTAGACTTGGGCAACCAGTTAGTGGCATGCAGTTGCCAATATAGCCACTTGGGGTCATACACGATACATACTCTAAAAAAATTAAAAAAAAAGATGGTGCTATTTTATTCACTCTTATACGACAACTTATACGATCTTCTAATTATATATATAAATATTTTTACTTCTCATTTGTTTTTTCATGAAGGGTTCAGGAGAGGATTTTAACATATTGTCTCACTATATTTTTTAGTTGTCTTTTAACAACTTTTCATAGTCGCCAGTGCTATTTTTCAGAAAACGACACTTACCACCCTTGACACCCGTGATTACACACAAAACACAAAACAATGAAATTGTTTTTCCAAGAAATATTTTCATTTTTTTCTCGTTTAAAAAATTGCTTTCATCCAATTTTTTCGTCTACTGTGAGCAACGTTTAGAAATTAACTGAGCCTCGAATATTTCCGACACTCTTTTATCAGCGGTTTTGGCAAACATTTTTGCAAAGAGAGGTTTTACTTTATTGCGGTTGGGCTCCCTTATCACGGATTAGAAATATTTATATAATATAAAATACGTCGCACAGCTTTCCGAAGTACGAATAGCGTAACGCATCTCAATTTAGTCAAGTGAGTTTAATTTATTTCAAAATTTCAACATCATTTTCGTTTAATTAAGCTTAATTCAATTAGCAGTCGTTCAGAAAAGTAATTTCTTCATATTTGATTGCAATTCAGAAGAAAATTTGAGTATACAATTTTATGAAAGTTTTGAAATTTCGGCATGAAATTTATTTTTTTAAAGTTGTCCGATTTATTTATATTGGAATGGGAAACGTGATAAGGTGGCAATACAATTATTAAAATAACGGAAAGAGTAAACGTGCGAACAAAAGCGGCAACCGTCAGTTAAGTTGTGATGAAAAGTTTGAGTTAATAATTTGACAACAAGAACTACAACAATTTAATATCTTCTCTAATACAAGACATTTGCATTACTTTCGCTGACCAAAAATGCCCAAAATTGCTATTACAAATCATCTTTTGCAAAGGTGGTCTCTTCTTAAAATTATAAAATAACGAGATGACTCCAAAAAATTCATAAATTTAAATCCGAAAACTGCAGCTAAAAATACTCTCGAAATTGTCTCTCACAGGTTAATCAAATCCAAACTGTGAGCACCGTAAAGTTTATTTTCAATACACTACTTGAGTGTGGGTTTTCTTAATTGGCAAAAGAAAGAATTGTTTTTCTCTTTAAATTCATTACTTAATATAAAATTGTTCTCATAAGAATGAGAATTTCTTATCAACAAACTTCGTAAACATTTGTTGTTCTCTTAACTGTTCATTAATCCACTTAAACGAGAGACATTACATATTAAAATTCAGTTCTAACGCAATAGTGAAAGGTGTAATTTAGTCTGAAAAATATTGTATTGTTTTTCGTTTAGAATTGAAAAATAAACCATATTTAATTGAATGAGTGAAAAGAAGAGAATATTTTCAACGAGTGCAATTCGAGAATAGTACATATTTGAAAGAAGTGTAGGTTTTATTTTCGTGTTACAAATTTTTTTTAAAATTGTGGAATAAAAATATTGATATACTAATAATTCAAATATTTCAAAAACGCTTGACTGGACGCTGAAACAATAAGAGTAAAAATTCCGAACACCTATGTATAATGAAAGCACGCGTATGTAAAACACGAAACGAACCCAATAGGCTCTTATCGCAAATAATTACTGCTACTGCAATTCAAAAGCTTAGCAAAAGATCTGAGTCGTGATATATTCCCATTGACCTCGTCAGGCGTACACTTGGAGATTTGACTTTGTCGAAGAGTGAAAGCAACTTATTGAGAAAAACAACAAAAGTGTCTCAGATAAAGTGAAGCTAAGCTTTTGTTTACTAAATGAATCTAGTTTTATTTTAAAATTATGATTTCTCGTTTTAAACTTTACATATTTCTATATATTTGATGTATTTCGTTTAGGCTTATTTATAAGAATAACGATATGCAAAACAGTGTCAAAACTCACAAAAAGACTCGAAACTTTATTTTCTTATCCATTATTTTTTAATTTCTTAATTAGCGATATCTATGGAAAAGGTAAAGTTCAGGTGTTCGTTAAATTTTCTAAAATTTCCAAGCTATCTGTGACTGTTTTTTAATTTTTTTCTCCATCTCTTGTCTCTCTCGAACCAAGAGATCGATAGCCATCTGTTCTTTGTTTAATCAGATTTACAAGCTTTCAATGCAGCAAAACATAGAAATAACGAAGCTGACTTTTCTGCTGGTACTTTTGTTCGCCAAAGAAATATGTTCGGACGATACGTCAGAGAGATTCATTATTTATATGGATGTACATAACGATATTGAAAATTTAATTCAATGGGGCAACACTTGCGAAGCAAAGCTAACTACCTTAGAACAGTAAATATGTACAATAATACTTTATGACATAATTGAATAAAACGTTTAAAAACAGAACTGTAGTGGAAACCACAGAATCGAGAGAGAGTTCGAATGAAAAATATTTGGAAACATTGAAGAAATTAGAATATTTGGAGCATACGGTTAGCACATATGAATTAAAGCAGACGGCAGCGGAACATACGATACAGAGGTGAATATTATTAAAAACTATAATTATACTCTGTTATAAACATTAAAAATTGTATATTTATTTACTGCGCAGCTTAATTTCGCGATCCAAGCAAATTGAGGAAGAGTTAAGACACACTATTCATATATTGAGTGCTAAAGTAACAGATTTAGCATCAAAATTTGCACTTCAGCACAGGTAAATTAATACTTTTACGTTCCCTCTCTCTCTGTATAATATAATTGCAGGGAGAGAAAATTCTTTTGTTCGCTAATCGTTTGCAGATGTTGTTTGTAGATATTATATTTGCAGTGTGTGGTAAAGAACTCTAAATTAGAAGCGAGCTTTTAATCAAGTTCAAACAACAAAATCTGGCAATAGGCAATCCCATTAACCATTAAACGGTACTCTTTAAAACTAATATTACGCCAATAAGAATTAGAAGAAATTATATGACCTTCTAATGACAATAAGGATGAAAGGCATGGCTGAAACATAACAAGAAAAACGTTTACTTCGGTTACACCGAGGCTATAACAATGTTCACAAGTATTGTAAAAAAGCTTTACATTCAAGGGCTGGAATTTGATCGATCAGTTTGTATGACAGCAATATCCTAAAGTGGTCGCATATCGGCGATTTCTGCAAATAAGTACTTATTTGGGGAGGAAAGGACGTGTAGGAAATTTCAGATCGGTGTCTCAAAAACTGAGAGACTAGTTGTATACGCACAGACAGACGGACATCGCTAAATCTACAGCCCGTCACGCTGATCACATATGTATGTATGTATCCTTCTCGGTGGTAAAAAGTTCGTGGCAAACTTTATATACACTGTACGGGGAATAATGATGTTTCTATCTATCTTTGCCATATATTTTTTTTATTGAAAGAAATTTATTGAAGAATATATCGGCATTCGCTTGCTCTTAACATAAAATATTCCTTCAATAATGTTGTGGAACAAAAGAAACTCCTCAAACTTTACATATATGTAAAATAGGTGAAATTGAGAGACGCCATCAGCTTCGTTTGGTAAGTTAATGACAAACGTTGCGTTTTATATGTCCTCGTACGCTCTTCGTTTAAATTAGGTACACTATTACGATTAAGCGTTAAATCACAGATTCGCAACGTTGCCGTATATATTTATTTTATTTTTGTAGAGATCCATTGCCAGAAAGAGAGCGCCCTTTTAAAACTCCCAGCACTACAGGCGTACAGCGTCGGTAAGTGCGAATGTTTGTCCATATAAATTCTAACCGCAATTTTACGAAGTTTTTTTTTATTGACAAATTGACAATTTCTAGTCCAATACAATTTGTACCTCCAGTACAATATGTACCCCCGACAAATGTGCCAACAGCAGCAAGCCTGGTTTCACAAGGTAGGCAAAAAACTGTAATTTTCGCAAAGTATCAGTAATCAGTACGTATATATCTTTATCTATATATGTATGTATACTTTTCAGTTTGTGAAGAGATTGAAAGAGCGTTGCAATTAGAAGGGATTAAACGGTTCGTATCTGGAATTCATCCCTCCCTTACCATTATTGAAAGGAAAACGCGTTACTCTAGCGTTTTTAGATGTATGGGGAGTTTGATTGGTAAACGCTTCGTTCTAACTTCAGGCCGTTGTGTATACACAGGTGGGGCAAACTTTGTGCGATTGGGAATACGAAGTGACAAAACAAGCGCCATAGGAATGAATATAAAAGTAATCTTAAAGATTTATTCTGTCTCACAATGTACATATATAACCTCGTGTGTTTATTTCTAGAAAATGCTTATACATCCCAAATACGCTTTAGGCAGAAAGTTTAATATAGCCGTTATCGAACTGGAAGGCGATGTGGAGTATTCTTCGCTCGTATATCCAACCTGTTTGTACACTGCTGCAACAATTTCAATAACTAACGCTGAGGTTTTTTACATACAAGATCTAGGTAAATACGCAAACAAATACGTACAAATAATTGTATCCGTGGGGGGGGGGCACTATAGCATATGCTATGCACCTATGACGAGTATTACAGCTGCCGTGCAGCCGAAGTTAACGTTTTTTATTGTTTTGGTGGAATTAAATTTTATTAATTGTTGTATCTATTTAATTTAGCAAATCTGAAAATAATATTTTTTTTAATATCTGGCAACCCTCTACATATACTATTTGCGATTGTCAGCATTTTCATCGCTTTTTCTTTAATACGAATTTTGCCACATTTACATCTATGATTTTATTTCATTCCAGACGAGTTTTCCTCAAAAAAATTGGAGGAAGTGCGCGGTCGACTTGTTCCGTACTCAAATTGTGCGCGATTCGCTGAGGTTCAAGCACAAGATTCATATGAGGAATCGTTAATATGTGTACATTATAACAATGTTTCGGATTCGTATTATAGCTCCTTCCATGGGCCGTTATTTTTCACCCAAAAGGATGTGATAGGTAAAGAGCGCATCATTGCGGTATATTCGGAAAACTCACTTCGAAATGACGTTTATATGACGCAGGAGCTCACAAAGGTGTATGACTACTTAGATTTTATTGAGAATGCAATGCGGAGTTTATTTGGTTCCTAATTCCAATGAGATATATATGCACAAACTAACGACGAATCGAAAATTAAATCTCGGCTTTTTTTATTTGGAAGCAAGAGGTATTTTGTCTTGTGTATTCTGTGCTCGACTACCGCTTGTCAATCATAACCTCAAAACTCATCAACGAAGGAATCGAAATATGAGAAAACATAGTTCTTTCAGACGAGGTCGTTCTTCTTTTAGTAATCTGAAATACAAGTCCAGTGCTAAAGTGAACTTGTTTTATTGAAGATCAGATTTCACAATACTAGGCCTAATACCCATATAACAAACTTTTGAATTCCATCACGCGATACTTTCCTTAGTTTGATATAAAGTTTTGCCAAAACCTGAAAGTGCTCCTCCGCCATTGTACCTTGCAAGTTGCAAGAGTATTAAATGTTCGGTTACACCCTAACTTAACATTTCCTTACTTGTTTTAGACATGTGGTTTTTCCCTCGTAAAGTGTGTTTGCAGCAATTAGCGGCGTGTGTCCACATTAACAGCTGTAGTATTATGGCTGGCTTCATTTTTGAATAAATATGGACCAATAATTCGCTATGCCCTTAGAGCACACCAAACAATAACTTTTTGCGGGTGTACGATAATCACTCCAAATGCGATAATTTCGTTTATTAACGTACCTATTTAACTAAAATTGAACTTCATCGCTGAACAAAGTTTTCTTGCAACAATTGGGAACGGTGACCATCTCCTTTTGGGCCCATTTACCGAACGTGCGACACACGCTAGATAGTCGTTCGGCTTAAATTCTTGCACAAGTTAGATTTTGTACGCCCGAAAACCAAGTTCTTCCATAAAATCTTTTATAAAGTGGATGGGCACTGCTCCAATTGTTGCCCGCTATGGCGAATGGAGTCATTTGGGTCTGGATCGGTACTCTGCTCCACAGCAGCAATAACGTCTTCGGTGCGCATTGTACGTTGCACCCCACGTCTAAAAGAAGTTCCTGTTATTAGGGATATGAAAATTGACGCATTTGATACTGTGAAAGCCTTTACTTACTTGGACTATGAACTCAATGGAGCCTGAGTATCGAAGAGAGAATACAATCCGTCAATAGACGTCATACGCGTGCTTTATCAAACTGTTGAAATCAAAACTACTCCACAACAATCAATCGACCAGTATCGCTACTCGAAAAGGATAAAGCCAAGTTTCAAGTATACGAAACACAGATTCTTAGAAAAATCTGTGGAGTAGTAAAAGATAATGACTAGTGGTGTTCGTATAATGTGGAACCATGAGCTAAGCCAACTTATAAAAGGTGAAAATGTTATACCACTAAAGAACGGGGAAGACCGCGATCAAGATGGATTGACGAACACGAGGAAGATATGGAGAAGATTGGTAGAAAAATATGAAAGCAACTGTAAATGACCGAGATGTCTGAGGTTTACATGTGCAGCAGCTCAAAGCTAACAATGAGCTGAATCACCAAAAGAAGATGATATTAGGTATATTGGCATAAATTTCTGGTTTTTCTTGATAAACTGTGAAAACTAGTGAAAGCAGATAATAACTACGCCAATACACCATAAAAATTTGCTCGAATAGTCCTTTGAAATGTGTCAGCTTTTTTCTAAAAATGGTCGAAATCGAACTAAGACTTTATGTTTAATATAACTGTTATTTTGTGTAGTATTTCAGTGGCAATAGCTGGGCGCTACAAATTCATGAAATCGTGTCCTAAGTTCCCTAATCTTTATATAAACAAAATATTGATTTCCGTTGTTCACAATTTTGTCAAACAACGATTGTTGAATTGGTATGAATTGTTTTTTTTTTATTCTGGCGAATTGCGAGAGTAAATGCTGTTCGGCTGCATCCGAACTTAGTTCTATCTGCTGTTGAAAGAATTTTATTTTCTATTGCTATGTATGTATGTACTATGGAAGCACTGACACATAACCCAAATACGAGAGGTGGTGCTTATTATCTATCAGATCACACTTTACGAAGTGTTCATCGGTTCAATCAGCTAGCAATGCCGTCATCGCAGCACGCTGCTTTTGACACTTAAGGTCAGTTATTAAGAATTAATCGCAATTTTGTGCCCACTTGCTACTCCTATCCTTTCCTCTACCCACCCTAGGCAAGCGTTTTAAGTTCAGTGACAGTCGGTAGAAAAAATAGCTTTCTAAAAGCTTTGACTTGTTTTATGGAAAATACTAGCATGCCATAATTTTTTTTGTTTATGTCAATGACGTCATGACGCAAGTCACAAAGCAGATTGTGTGGCGCCTTATAATATATTGTACATATAAACACGTATATAACATATGTGTGTTAATTGTATTTTTCTGCGTCAAAGCTCTGCTTGCTTCTTTTGTCGACAATTTTTGCGGCGCATCAGCTTTCTATAATTACAGTAAGTGATAATTTTAGACATTTTCTATGGGCTATTTTTGATTCTCATTCTTCATTCTTATTGTTTTAATTATACTAAACAATGACGTCAATGTGGAAAATACTGAAGGTTTATTAATAAATAAAATTATGGAATTAGCTTGTATGTATAATGATTGCTATTGTTGTTAGTAGTGATAGCGATATTAAGAAACCTTTCCAGTAGGGTTGCGAGGTTTGAAGGTAAAAAAATCTTAGAATGATTAACACTACATAGTTATTTTAGACAACGTAATCAAGTGTTGAACAAGAAAGTTTGTATATCAGTTGAATGAAAGGGGTAAAAAGGGTAGGGTAAAGTGTAGGAATGCTATTAGGTGGCCAGAAACGAGCTTAAAAGTTGAAGTGCTGGGAGTGGAGGAGATAACATCTTCATACGTGGTGCGTGGATGAAAGAATATAAACGCACAAGGGTGCGCGCCCCTAGGATGCTTGAAAGAAGGTGTTCAAGTGCATATAAATATAACTGTATGAGCACATATAGGCTATCTAGGCCGTAAATGAAAGAAATGTCAAAAGCCGCATTTGGTGTTTAGAATTGCAGAGTATACTCTTAACTAATTTCTTTGATTTGTCATTAATTTTTAATGAAAACTTTTCAACTACACAAAATGGATTGGCTGCATTTTTGGTTTTTATTTCGACAAAAGTCTTCTACTATAGATGGATTGCGTCAACTCGTCGAATTCTTCATATTTTCAAAGTAAATTAGTTGGTATATTTCTTGGAGAAAATGGTTCGAGTCGACTAACAAGAGATATGAAAATGAACACTGATGTGATCGTGTTGAAAAATAAAAGAAAAACATTCTAAGTATTAAATTTTTTTTTTGTTATTTCCCGAATAATTTTGTGGATACAAATCCGGTTCCACTCCAAGTGGGTCTATAACTATTAGGGGGGAGCGAAAAAAAATTTTGTTTTTTTTTGCTTAGCCTGGGGCCCACTCAGTTTAAAAGTAAATTTCGAGTTGGATGGTACAAACATTTTTTTTTGATGGAAGTTTATGGTGAACATACTTCAGCTGAGCGAACGTGTCAAAAGTGGTGATTTTGGTTTGGGAGACAAAGAACGCCTGGGCGGCAAAAAAAGTTAACGGTTCACGTCAAAACTTCGTTTCTGAAGTGCTGCAAAAACTCTATGCCACCTCTTCTTCGAAAAACCGCTAACAGTAGTGTTTGTTTTGTATTGTTGTTGTGCAAAACTCCACTCGAAACTTAATTAACGGCACCGCCTTATCGCACAAATTATTATCTTGATAAATTGCAACTTTTACAAAGTGTTATGAGGCACGTTGCCAAATGCCGATCATAAATTTGATACCCACTTTTGGTGTTAACAGCAATTTTTTGCATTTTTACAACGATTCACACGTTCGAATTTTGTGCGTTTCTGTGCACACCAAACCCCGGGTGTTGTACAGGCGAGTGGCTATGCGACCAACTGGTCGTAAAATGGCATTAGTGGCAGCATTGGCTACAGCGACAACAACAATATTGGGCGAGCCAAGCAAATTTTTTTACGCATAAAATGGAAATTCGCCACAACAAAAACAAAAACATGCAAATTTTTAATTAGCCAACGCATATTTGCATAACTAGCTGTGAATGCTACAACAAAAACAAGCCAATAAACAGCAATGAGCAACAACAAAACAGGCGGCAAGTTGGTAATTGCCTAACGATAGGTAACCGTACAACAACAACACCAAAGTCAGGCAATTACCGAACGCAATTGCTAACGGTGGCCAACTGTTGCTGCCGCCTTGTTGTGTGCGTGTGCGCCCGAGTGTTTTGCGCACGCGCAGTAAATTTACTGTTAGAGCAACAACAGGGCAGCATTTGAATCCCAACAACTTTTTTTTGACACTAAAAAATACTTTAATATGTAGCTTTATGATTGTGGCGGTGAAGAGAGAATTGCGACGAGTCGCTGAAGTAAAGGTGAAAGGAAAGGTACGCTGAACGACATTAAGACAACATAAGCAAAACAAAAATGGTTGAAAATAAAAACTATTTGCGGAATCGAAGATTCTTGCCAAAAAACGCGCACCTGTCTAGCTGCAATCAGCAATGGCGAGAAGCCAAGTAGCAGTTGTTGCACGCAAAGGTTGCAAGACAACAAATGCTCACGCATTGAACATATGGTAAATGCATAATGAAAAGAGCAGCTTGCCCACCTAAGCAACCACATTTTGCGACGGTAACTCTATCAAAAAAAAAATAATATTTCTTTATAATGTGGTAACTCTATATAAAAACTTTTTTATTCTTCATATTACACAACTCCAAAAACTTTTCTCCGACTTCGCACTATTTAAATCATTTGTTTCCAGTTTAAGGCCGATGAGTTCAAATGAGACAGACGACACAAATTCTAGACGTGAGTTTCGACAAACCTTCTATATTACCCGACCGTTCATTAAAACTTCTGCCCTCTATCCATGGCTGGCTCAAATCCAGCCCATAATAATTTATTGAATCCTAGGAGTTCCTGGCATCAAAACAAAGGCATTCTTCCGGGACCTTTGGAGGTCCGAGGTTCTGCCTCGTAAACTAACCGTATTCTGCCTTTTTTTATTTTAGAAAAAAAAGTCGTGTGTTTAGGTTTTGACGCAGGTATATTATACCCTGCTGTGTTTTTAGGTTTGAAATCCGACAGGTGCTTTATCACCAGAACTGCGGAATTCCCATGCAAAGGTCTATTAGTCGGCTGTAAAGACGATCAGCAATCTACATTATTTTTTAAAAACTTTTGCATATCTTTCAGTTTCAGTTCAGTTCATAGAAATGAGAACGATTTCTTTTGATTTTCAATTTATAATAACAAATAATTAAATTGAAATTGAAAATGGTGAAGCAGGAGAGAGGAACTCCACTCGTCTTGTAACTCAAATTTGAAACACAGCGTCTCAGTTTTGTACCTCAAATATGTACGAATGTATTTATGTACACGCTTTCGCAAATCATTGAAGTTTGCTAAAAAAAATTCAAAAAAACCTTCTTCAAATACCGAAGGAAGAAGCTGCGTTGGTCAGCAGATTAGTGACAGAGAAATTCGCGAATAAAGTGCGCAAAATAATTACACTCGCTGAACAGCATTTGTCTACAAGTTATAGAAATTGCTATTTTTGTTGTTGCTGCTACTACAGCTACGGCACAGTCGCACAGATGGACAGCTAATTTCGTAGCAGAAGCGACCGCGCGCACAACTTGCAACGTGCATTTGGAGCTTATACGGGCGGCTCGAGCCGACAGCCACTCACTGATTTTAATTATCGGCACATTACATCAATGAGCCGAGTGAGCGCATCTGTGTAACGTGCAACGCAACAATGACAGCAACAACAAATCACAAAAATTAACATCTACCCGGTGCTGCCTTTGTCAAAAAACCAAAAAAAGAAAAACAAAACGAGCAGAAGACAAAATGGCAAAATACAAATGGAGGATTACACATGTTGCATGCAATACTAGATGCTGTTTTTGTAGCCACACGACGCTTTTCCGTGCATTTGCCTGTCATTAATTTCTCGCATACACGCATTTTGCAAAACGAATTTTTACAACGGGTTGCGCCTTATTTGACTTACCTAGTTAGCTTTTTTCGCAATTGTTTCGTCCGCTTTTTAGACGATTTGCATTTCAAGCTTGTTTTTATACCAACGCACTTTCCTTTCTAAAACGCATTTGAAGTCAAGTCGAAATCATATTTTATGATGCTATGGTTTTACTTTTATAAAGTTGTAGTTTTTTCATGCCTTTGTTGGTTGTGGGCCAGCGTTTCTAGTTGTAGGCAATTTATTTGCTGAGAAGAGCTCCTAATATCTTTTCAAGAGTTGTATAAGTGCAAAAAATAGCTTCTCTATCCAATCCTCTCCTTCTTTCGGATATTTGAAAAAAAAAATTTAAAATTTCTTATTTTCATATATAGGAGTTCGTATAACTTTCTAGATTAATTTTCCGTTATACTTCAAAATAACTACGTCGTTAATGACTCTGAGGAATTTCTTTTCATTGAGAAAGAAGTTTAGCTTATTGCCATTAAAAATCGGTCCTGAGCAGTCTACTGGATTTGGAAAGACTATTATCACCTGTTCAGCTTCTTTTGTTGTCGATGACATTCTAATTGTTTTTTTTTTTGTAATACTTAATGTCTGTAAAGCAAAGTCCATACCAACAGGAGATTATGAATTTACTGTTAGGAATATGACTGTCGCCTCGACTGAGACCAAGTGCAAGTGGGCCAAAAATTCTAAGATTTATAGTTACGATATAATAAATTGTTACATTTTCATTTATTAAGAGAAAACAATAAAGTCTTTTTAATTTTGAAAAGTGAGTCAGATAAGTCAAATGTGCTGGAATGAGAATTAAAATCATGATATATACGGTGGAATGGTTCGTTTAGTTCAAAATTTGATCTACAGGATTTTAACAGTACAGGTCTAAACTGCCTCGAAAAGCGAACCGTTATATTAAATTTAATTTCAGACAGGAGAAAAGAACTGCAAACTGTTTCATTCAAGATTTTCACTAAGAATATTATATTTTAACTAGAAAGTGTAGGTAGATTAATAAGTTTTCTCACTGTGGTAACGCTTCAGCAGATAATGTCTGAATTGGAAACCAGAATTTGGAAAAATTGTTTTTACGAGAGTGTATTTTAAGCTTCCAGACAATTAATTAATACGAACATATATCTATTAAAGAGGTATATGCGTGTATCTAGCTTTAATCATTCAAGTATTTAATATTTTCTGGATCTTCTAGACCTTATTTATATTAAGAGCTCAGAATTATTCTACAGAACTATTACATCGTAGTTTGCAGCCGGACATGCTTTTTGCATTTATTGGCGTTTTCTGGGAAGCTTTGGCTGCTGTACCAATGCCGTCGAACTTAATTTCGATATCCACTCAGCAATTGCTGAACTCTGAAGCTGACGTGGTCACATGGTCAAGTGCCACCGCAAAAATGCTTCATAAAAAAATGCAAAGTGGTGTCTATATTTGCAATTAAATACGCTCTGGCACGGCCAAAGATTTCTGAGACTCTTTGCTTGCCGTTATACTTCCCCGCTCAGCGACTTTCCTCGTAGAACCTCAAAAAAATTTTTGTATTTCACATATGAAATGCTTAAAATATTCATTAGTGTTGCATGCAGTACTTCTTACGATTTGTTATAGACGTCGTACACAGTTAGCATCGGAGAACACTATGTCTGGCTAGTGCTTAGATGCACTTAATGGCGATCATTGTTCATGCCTATATTTTCTCGGCATTTAGCTGGTTGCCACTCTTCGTCAGTTAACGCTTAATTGTCGGCTATAGCATCTACATACATACTCGTACATACTACATAAGTTATGCGATTTTGCCTCCGTTGTTGATTTTGGCATTGAAAAATGTCGTCAAAATTTATTGCCTGCAATTTTCTTTATGCTCACTACCACATCTTTTCGCTTTTATGAAATTTCGCCGTTTGGTTTACGCTAAGTTTTAGTACACAGAATAAGCCCACGGCTTGCAACCCTGCAGGAAAAAGTAGTATAATAAGTTATTCTGTCGTTATCTACTTATATAATTAAGTTCGAAAAATTTGGTTCTTCGGACACTTATTGAGATCTACTATTGTTTCTAAGGTACGTTGAATCCCCCACATTGAGTGATTGGTAAGAGAAGTTTCGTGGATATATCTGATATTCGTTAGTGCCATTTAATATAAGATAATGCATATACTGTAACGCAAAACAAATAAAAATTTATATATAAATATTAATCGTTTATCTGCAAACCTCTTCCATGTTATAGTAGATCTCTCTAAGTGTTCGAATAACCGAATGTGACACATATTTTTTTGATAAGCAGGTCGATAAGACGAGGAACATATTGGAAATATTTCTAGACCTGCAGACGTATCCCAATCAAAGAGAATAATATATCGATTCAATTGAATACATTTCTTGCCATCAAACAAATTCGGATGCAAACTAAGGTAGTTCGAAGTCGAAAAGCTACAAGGCTAACAAACAGATTTATAACCCGTCTACGTTTTTGGTGCTCTATGAACCCAATTGGAGTACACGATGCGATATGCGAGCGGTAAAATAATATAATATGAACTCCTCCATTATAATTTTCTTTTGTAGCACTTGTGTTCGCTGAATATTCACACAGGGTTCCCATATTTGCCATCATGGGGTGTTCATTTACTCTAGAAGTTATGTATGTATGTATATAAGTAAATATTTTGCTTATTACCTTCGTTGGCGTTTATTGTGGTTGTTTTATTCCTTTTCACACTTTATTTTCGTTTCCACCCATGACACTTTTGGAATGTTGCGGAAAATTCTGCCACAAACATTTCCCACCGGATGTAAGACTATTAAGAACATAAAAAAAAATTATTAACATATAAATTCTGAACACAGATATGTGTATGTAAGCAAATAAGTATATAAACTTGAATAAATAATATTGTATTATTAATATTAAGAAAACTTTCTACAAAATTCGTATCCAAATTATTGTCAATGCAACCCTGCGACAACGTAATTTTATGGTTTTTAATAGCAGACTTATATAAAGCATGAGGAAATAATTAAATAGTTGAAGAGTTTACATACATTTCTCCTTGAGGTCATAGCCTGTAAACTGTGAGCCACATTGTCGAAATTTTCAATATGAGGCGACTAAAAATGAGTGGGCCATCGGCTTGTTTTAAGTCAAACTTATAATCGTGAAAAGTTTTTGAACAGAATTGAAGAAAAATATGTTTACATTCTGGATTTTAATTCACGCGAAGTCCGGTTAATTGAACCTTTTCATCTATCTCCAAACAGCTGCTGAATGGATTATCGAAAATAATAGAAAACTATAGAAGCAGTGAGGTATTCTATGTAACAATCATGCTTTAGCTAACCTACGAATTAGTCGAGTAGACTTCTAATTCATTCTCCGTAAGAAATGTTTCGCGACCTTGCAGTGCTTTAAATGTACTACAAAATAACATAGGATAAATACAAAAAACAAAAAACACATTGATCTCTAAAACCAAATATTCAAGATGATAATTGTACTCCTGAAGAAAGCTTTTAAAAAATTGAAAACGATCTCTAAAATGGCAAAAAAGATATTATTTTCTACACTTCAAAAGTCTTGTTAGAGAGAACTTTAATACTTGGTGCACTACCTGTAGAGTCGGTTGGGAAAGAAATACTCAAATCTTTATGGAAATCGGTGGTCGTTGTATCCAGTATCTCAGATTTAAAACCAGCTGACTACTCATTTTGATATAAAGCTTAACACCCAGTCCAAAAATACTTGTTCCTGTTATTTTCTTCACCCTATATTCGTCTGTCGACCAGTAATACGTACATATATTATATATCAAAATAGACCAACATCGTTTATTAATTTTGAACTTTTCGTCTCCAAACTTGTTGATTGCGCCGTTCCAAAGAGTTTCATACAAATGTCATTTATGCAAAAAGTACTACACACTGAACCTGAGGCACTACAATCCCAGTTCAACGTTATGAACACACTTACATATGTACATACATATATTGGTAGATGAATGCAAACTGGTGAAATATTTAGGCAATCTTGTCAACTAATTTTCTATGACTACTCACATTGTAGCGTTTTCATTAAACATGCAAACCGATTTGGCAATGCAATTAGTCTATTAAGACCAAGTAGTTGACATAGGAGCGAACTGTCAAAGATCTGTTAAGTGAATATAAGTGGTGTGGAGAAATGAGACAGTAGTTAGTTACTTTGTTGTGAATCAATATGTATATAGATGGTAGAGCCATGGCCCAAGAGAGTGTAATATATTTGTGGATTGGTAAACGAAAAGATGGAATAGTTAAATGAGTCCCCCCGAGGTCACAACAATTATTAACAAATAGCTATTTCACTGCCCTCTTTATTATAAAAATATCCTGAACTTACATAGAGAAACCATTGAGAAAGCATATCTTTATTTAGACAACTTGAGTCATCCCGATTATTCATGCTCTCTGGATCTTATTACCTTTCTAAAAAATGTCGCCTTCAAAAATGCGTTAGCTCATCCAGTTATAGGTGAAATTCCCTAAAGAATATGTTGACTGATCTTATATTTGTTGACGAAGTTAAAACTGTACATCTGAAGATCTTCGATTACAATTATTTTAACAAAATTTATGTTGGAAATAATCTCATTTTCTGCTGACTACTTTTGAAGTAATTTCAAAAGAGTTAAGAAACTATCGGTAATGTTAGTTAGATCTTTTTGGAAGGCAGTTAACAAACTTTGATAGCAGTAATTGTTGAGCCAAACGAAATCAAGCCGAGAAGCTATATTTAATAAAGTTTCCCTAGAATTTTCTAATATTGACACTCACTTGAAAACTCACTTACGTTACGAAGCTGCAACGGTTATTAACCAATTATTTCTGCTCAGCTATTACAAGTATAATTGTTCTTTTTCTTGATAAACCCACACAGGAAGCCCATCTAACTCCTGATGTGTAATAAAGGATGGTCGAATCACCGATAATTCAACGTTATGGCCAATAATTTAACTTTATTATAAAGATAAGGGTTTGCCAATATGTTTTAGAAATGTTTCGGACAGGTGACTGCCGCGGCTGTGTGGAATAAATTTAAATTAGACTCATCGCGCAAACCGAACGACTATTTTGATAATAAATTTGTACGATTTGCAAACGTTGTTCCAGAGTAAGTCTCTTCATTGTTCGACCCTACCTACTTACCTAAGACTGTTCATTATAAAATGAAAACCAAAAACAGTATATATCAAGTAACAGCTGTGAAAAAGACCAACTTCAAAAAAAAAACCATTGTCTCGATGAAAACTATGCGCCAAAAAAACTATGAGGTAGTGCAACTAGTGTTTTTCCAACCAAACCTTAATCTGCACCAATTACAATGAGATCGTTGTTCTTTCAGTGAGAATTGGAGGCCCAACATTAAGAAAAGAGAATTAATCTAAAATGATTATATCAAGAACTCTCGGAAAAGGTATCCAAGAGTAACCATGAAACGATGACATAATTTTTCTTCGCTAATGGAGACAAGTCGGTGGGATATAAAGATTATACTTGTACATATATGGCACCTATTGAAATGAAAGTCTATATTTGTTAATAAGTTCATTCTTTTTTTGTAGGTTGTTTGGTAATAAAAAAAAAAATATTGAACATTTATGGAGATCCACAAGGTTCATCATCTTTAAAATTCTCGGAACAACTTTTTGAGATATTGAGGAATATTACCAACATGAACAGGGCGAAGACAAGCTTTATATATTGTACTTATATCTCTACATATATGTGTGTATCTTTGTACTAAACTTTTTTTATTTGATAACCTAAAAAACTAAAAACATGTTCGTATGCCATTGATTAACCGAAAAGCGAAGCTGCAATGATTAGCGCGTAGATGGTGGTCAGCCAAGCAACATTTCTACCGTTCAAGATTCCATCGCAAGTGGGTGCCGGTACGCGCTTAGCGCTGCTCATGCAACGACTTCACTTATTTATTTATTTATTATTGTTCTAGTTTTTTTGTCATTTAACAGTACTTTTGTGGTCAGCTACAGACTTACATTTGGGCTTTACAACCGCCACAAACTCTAACAACGATAAGTGTGGCACAGCTAAGCAAAGCTTCTTCCGCCTACAGCTTGTTGTTGCTTTCGCTGTCTCGCAGCTTCGCTGCCTCATTGATTTCATTCTACTAACCGAGGCTGCTTTCTTTCTGTAAACTATTTAATGGTTGCTGCTGATCTCCGCATTTTTTTGGTTGCTGTTTGTTGTTGTGCGCATCAAATAAGGAAAAATGTCGCCAAACTTTTCAATTCAGCTGTCAATCATTATGAAAGATAGTGTAGCTGCTTAAGTTGGCAGCAAGCGTGCAACAACTGACAACAACAAAAGCAATCGTTGCCAATATTGCTAAGCTTGTTTGAGAAGAGCTCGAACTGCGGTGGCTATCGTGGTGGCAGCAACATTGTGGACAGTGTTGACAACAGCAGTAGCGACAATAACAACAAACAGCGATCGAAGCATGAAATATAGTTTGGTTAAAGCTTGTTCCGGCTGGTGGAGAAAAAAACAAAACAATATGCAACAGGTCCGACAACAGCAAAGTGTAAGCGTTTTTATGCAAATTAGGCAGCTACATACCGCATAGCTTTCTTTTGTTGCTTTTGTTGTTTGTGCATTGTGGTGATGTGGTATGTTTTATGTGTCGTTTATATTTTTTTGATGGCGAGGGAATATTTGTTAAATGACACTTAGCCTGCCCGATGTTGCAGGGTGACCAGAATTCACGCTGACTTGTTTAATCCTAAGTCATCTACAGTAGTTTAATAGTCGTTTCTTTCCTACGCTAAACGGATTTAATGAAGTCAAGTTCTTTCCTACTTTACTGTGTGGTTTAGAAAACGTCGCGTTCACACAGGACGAGAAGTCTTAGGTTAGTTTAATGGAGAATTCGGCTTCCGAGAGGGGCTGTATCTTATAAGATTTGTCGATGTCTGCAAGACAAGTTTATCCAAGTCAGTTGCCGGCTTAAAAAAATATAGTAATCCATATAGATAGGTATCGCCGTTTTATCTACGGCTGATCAGTTAAGAAAAACAGGTAAGTTGAAAAGTTCAACATTCAACAAATGTAATTGAAAAACTGGTCTTCTATACGAACGAGGCTCTGACAACCGAGTTACCTTTATTAGCAGCGAGGAGAAAATACCTACGTCTCGCCACCCAGAAGGCCGACCAGCAGCCCTAACAACAAATTTCTCGGCATAAATTGGAGCGTTTTAAGCAGAATAAAACTGATTTCTTTCGTCGTTTTATAACTATGGATGAGACCTGGATCCACCCCCATGATCCTAAATTGAAACAAGAACGTTTACAGTGGACTGAAGCTGGTTGTTGATTGATTATGTGCAGAAAGGTGAAACAATCAACTATGAATATTATTGCAGGCTCTTGGATCAGTTGGATGAAAAAATTCGTGAGAAAAGACGTGGTTTGCAGAACAAAAACATCATTTTCATCAAGATAATGCACCTGCTCACAAAGGTGTTTTAACAATGACAAAATTCAACGAATTAATTGAGCATTCACCGTATTCACCAGGGTTGCTCCAGCTACTACTACCTCTTCAGAAACATGAAACAATTCCTTTCATAGCCTGGGTATGTAAGTGATTTGGATGAACTCGTCGATTATAACACATATTGAAAGTATTTTATAATCCCAAATAAAAGAGGGTCCAATAATTGCAGAACTCTTGCATTTAAATAAAAGCAAAATACGATTTTAGGAACACTGCCACACTGCCCAAAATCAGCCACAACTGGTCACTCTAAAGGCACAAAAAATTGCAGTAAACTCAATAGTAATAACTGTGCTTGCGGATTTAACTCGTAACTCTTAAGCGAACCGCACGGTGAACGCCAATTCGTTTCGCAGCACGGCAACAGAAGTATAATTGTGTGTTTGTCGATGAGTTAGTGTCGCTGCACACTCGTTGCAACGTGTAATAATTGCACTTTGCATGCGAATTGTCATCACACGCTCGTCACACAGCGTCAATTTCCTTGCCTGCACAGCATTTACTTTGTAGCTGAACGTGCAAGCCGCCAACAGCTTCTAAAGAGCCCATGCAAAACTTAGCTGTCGATCTCTCGGCCTGTGCGGACATTTTGTACGTCTCGCTGTCGGACTTCTAGTCGTTCGGCAGCTCGGCTGTCCATTTGTCCATCTATTTGCTGAATATATACACATACGAACATGCATCATTGTTTGCTACTTGAAGCGGGAGTTTTGTTGTGGGAGCTATTACTATTGCTCTTAGTTGCGGACATCGAGCTTGAGCTCGCATTGCGGTTGGCTTATATTTTTGCATATGATTAACAATGCGTCGCTTGTTGCTGGCACCATAGTTGTTGTAATGAGTTGTTGTTTACCAGTGTTGTCAGTATTTCAGCTTCTGTGGTTTAGTCCTCGAAATTTGCCGACGATCTGCTGGCCTATTGGTTGCGTCTAAAGTTGATGCCACCTTGGTTCAATGATTGATAACCGTCGACGCTTGATTGAAAGCAATTCAGCGTTTTTTCTGTTTGTGTGTTGTTTTACAGACTACTCTTATGTGGTTGTATTAAAAAATGTATTAAAAAAGGACTTGGAATTCGAGGGCCAAAGTATCCAATGCAAAGTATTGCAAGTGTAACCAATGTAAAGTTAGACGGAAAACAGTCATAGACTACACTCAGAAATACATAGCTAATGGGTATAGTATAGCTCTACACGGGAGCTCGTTGTGGACAGTCTTTACAGTAATCATGCAAAAACGAAAACCTAAGAATCACTTTAGTACTTACCACCAACATTTGCTTATATAATTTATTAGACGCTGTTGTTGTGGCGCATCATTGGCCGGTTGTCTAACTCATAGTGCTATGGCGTTTCTGTACCCATGCAACACCCACAAAGGTGCAATGAGTTTGTCTATATAACGGTATATAAATGTTTAGTTCAGACTGATTTAAACATACTCTGGACTTCATATGTGTACATTTTCGTTTGTGGATTCTATAACTAACGTAAGGACTAAAACTCTGATATATTGATTTGGCACATATATTATGGAAGAAAATTGGTTATGAAGCCAACCTGACTGGAGCCCACCGCTTCAGAATCAAATTGTTAAAGCCAATGCGGCAGGGTTACAGACGTCATTATAAGCTTGTTAATTGAATGCTGATCTTAACAAACGGACTCCAACTAGCTTCAGCAAATAGCATATCCACAACGATCCTCAGCTTCCATCCTTTCTAAGATTGGACTAAAACTGGAGGTTTGGTGGGGTTTTCAGTCGGTCGATACTCCTTGAATCTCTTTGCCTTCAAAATTGGGAACAAAACAGCTTTATTTTTAATGTTGGTAGATTTAATTGATTAATTATGAATCAGCACTTGAAAACTTGCACCTTGTCTCTAATGTGTACAACTTTCAAACAACCTAAAAACTCTAAAAGGTCTATAGTGTGGTATACCTTTACTTATGTATGTACATAATTAGGTATATTGAAGACACGGGGGCCATCGGTTCACATTAAGCCCTATAAAACAAAAAGTTGTTTTGTCTATGTCCTTGAATACTGTCAATTTGACAGATCATGGTCCTACAAAAATTCGTTCCGTTCAAATTTTTTTAAACCTTCGGGATGAGGAAATGTCGAAAGAGTATCTAACAAAGTAGTAAGCGTTAAATCGATCAATACCAATTTGTTTCCGCCAGAATAAAGTTCAGTCCTTATTATTTTTTGTTCGTTTTATTGCTATTGTTGCCGCAATTTCTTTGAGTTACTATTGGTTTTGTGTTTTTATTTTACTCCTTGTTTGCTTGCTTGACTTTTTTCTTCTTTGTCGGCGATTTATGAATTGGTTGTAGGCGAACGTAATGAATTGCTAATAGCATTCATAATTCATTATATGGTAATTGTCGTTTGATTGTCAATTAAAAAGGATCATACAACAAGAACAATAACATCAACTATCACAATAGCCGTAGTGTTATAGCATTCAAGCGCTGGCGTTTAACTCATCACACGATCGTTGCTTAAGCTATGCTAGCCACATTGAAACGAGTGTGCACGAGTACTTGTTCGATTAGCGTTGGCCGATGTCGGTCGCTTACAGCTCGCGTGTGGGAATGTGAGTGGTGTGGGCTTAGGTTTTCTAAGGATTTATGTGACAGTTGTCAATATGGACAAGCGATCGTTTGTATACGCGAGAAATATGCGAAATAGTAGAATGATGATTGCGATTATGTAAATATGAAAAGTGATCGTTTGAACAAGTTTTATAAGTTTTGACTTTCTTCATGTATCGAAGTTGTCTCGTATGTGCACAGGTTCGTTTGGTGAAGTTCGAAAAGTATATCGCTCTCAATTGCTCTTATAATGTACCTTGGTAGATCGATTTTAGACGGTTCGAAATAACGGAAATATAAACCTTTTTGTTGTGATAAAATAATTTGAACTCTTGAGTATGTTTAAATGTGGATTGGAAGATAATGAATTAGCTTAAGCATACCCATCCGATTTTTCGACCTTACATTGAAAGAACTGCTCCATCTTGAATTATATATTTATTCTAACGGCTGGCACCGGTTCGTTATTGCGAAGGTTCGAAGTCTTCAAAATAAGCCTTTGATGTTGACTTCCTTATTTAAGTAAAATTTTTCCATCGAGTTCCTTTTATGAACTTAGGGAAAGGGAAT